TAAGTTTTATAGAATTTAATTAACTATACTGACTTCGATCCTTCCAGCGCAAAAATTAAATGTTCGCGGAATAACAATAGTGAGGATAGTTAAAAATTTAATGACGCTTGTAATTTAATAATGTCGCACAATTTCCAAATTATTGATAAATGTACACTGGAGCGAGCTGAAGTATACTACATCGGATAAAAGAGTGACAACTGGTGTAAACTCCTGCCTAGTTCTCGTAAAATCGAATTAGAACGTCCAATACTATTTATTAAAGTGTTTATCTTTCTACGCCACATTTAAGAATATAACGAGGTGCTTGAAGGATTGACGCGAAGGAGATCGTAATTATTTCGCGTGCGAACAATTACTTTTCTACAAGAGCGAGACGGTAAATTGATATTTTTCTGTTGTGCGATTCAAATGTTTATTATCGAAAAGTCAGAGTGCTAACAAATATGCGTGCACGCACGTATACTTTATTATCGCTGCCAAAATTGCGAGAAAATGAAGTAAAAGAGAAGAGACGGTATCAGGGAAAACACGGGTAGAGAATCAAGCCACATAATACAATAAACGATAATCGAACGGACGATATAATATCTCAGAAAAGTTCGTCAGTCATCTCTGCGAATCGCGTCGACATAATTTAGTAATCGAATCAATAGTCATCCAAATACACATCCTTCGTCTCGTCTATTCGCATCCTGCCCTTGCGCGCATGGAGAGAAGGTCCTGGAAGATTGGAAGGGTGTACCTCATTGTAGGAAGGCTAAAATGAAGGAAAAGCCCATCAATTAATTGTATTTAAATTAATGCGTATTGATTAATCAGAATTAATACGTTTTGCTTTGATTTTGATCGATTTAATTATTATTTTTATTTTATTATCTATATCTGAAGGTATTATTCTTAGAATTTATTAAAATTTATAAGATAAATGAAAAATATTCGAATCGTGAATAAATTTCAATAGAAAAACGAAAGCGAAAGAGAGATATGTATAACTACCCTGATAGCAAAATGCGAAGACAGATTTTGAACAGGACCTGCTATCAATTTTTGATTGCAGAAAGACAACAAATTGTACACAGAATTTGTATTATCTGATATGGTCAGCAAATTGCTGTCAGAAATATGACAAAGCCTGCTAGACAATAGATCTGCTATGCCAGCAGATTGGTAGCAGAAACTAAACAAAGTTCTGCATAATCTGACGGCAGATTGAGAGCAGATTGAGAGTAAACCTGATTCGAGCAAATTCTGCTCGATTTCTGCCACCAATCTACTAGCATAGCCTGTCAGCAGGCTTTGTCGACAAATTCATAGTTAAATGCGCGGACACAAATAGGTTGGTTATGTCCTTTTGGCTCCAAATTGCTAACATTTTGCTATCAGGAGATAGTTATTTGATTTTAATAATATATTCCTTTATAATTTATTCCTTTTTTAAATCCTTTTCCGGATGTAATCCTTATTTAATCTTTAATCTTTAGATATTAATAAGTTAGACTTTTTTAATATCCAACAAATTTTAATTATCCCGCTAAGTTTTTATAAAAAACTAATTGTTGAAATACTGAACTAGTTATATCTTTGTATCTTATTTAGAAATAGGTGCAAAATGAGAAGAAATCGGTCTAGTTTGACCAAAGCGGAAAGAAGTTAAATTAAATTCCTCTTCTTTCACCTTCTCTCTTTGTCTTTTTCTCTCTTTATTTCTCTCTCATTTATTGTGTTCTAATTTTGCTAGTCCGAGTAACGAAAGCTTTTACTTACGTCGTCGAGAATCGCGATCAAGAATTTCATCCTGGGGAGTCTGCAATCTCCATCTTCGCAGTTTAAAGTGCGCATGAGTGGCAAGGGTGTCAGGCGCTTCCTCGCCTGTGAACCTCGGCATGCCGGATTATAGGGTTCTTGTCTGTAACAGCGATCTTGTTTATATTCACGATTCCATTTTTTTTATTGATACGAGAAAAAGAAAGAGGATATTCTATGAATACGACACTCACTCGCAATCCACTGCGCCGACCCAGGATTGATAATAGCACAAGAGAATGGCGAAGATAATTAAAGACCGCTGCACAAACGTCTGCAAAGAAATTAAGATTACCTATCAATCTCTGCGTGACACACAAAAATTATGAGATTATTGTAACAGAGAAACACTTGCAATTCCATTCTGCTCCGAATCTTTTAAATCCTTTCGTTTATTAATAAACTCCCAAGTTATTAATTACCCCCTTAAAAGGTCAGAGTATTTGCGCCAGTACGTAAGGATAAT